AAGAAAAGACACCGGTCAGGTTCTGATACAAACTCCAGCTCAAGGGTCGAGTGGAGGATCGGGAGAAGGATCGGAGCAGAAGAGAACGTATTCTCATGAGTCATGCTTGGCAGAGGGGGATCTGACTCGCCGTCTGAAACTACCGTTGTTTGACGGAGAACAGGCGGACAGTTGGGTTCTCCGAGCGGAGCAGTACTTTGAGATAAGCGAGTTCACGGAGGAACAGAAACTGAAGGCGGTTCGTATGTGTTTTGTGGAGGACGCGCTTCTCTGGTATCGATGGGAGAGAGACAGAGATCCGTTTCGGACCTGGGATCAGCTAAAGGAGAGAGTGCTGGAGCAGTACTCGACGTCGCCGGACACAACGGCCGGTGAGAAACTGATGAAGCTGACCCAGAAAAGTTCCGTCAAGGAATACTGTAAGGAGTTCATTGCGTTAGCAACGAACGCACCAGAGATATCAGATGCGGTGTTAGAGATGGCCTTCATGAGTGGGTTGAAACCACGTATACGAGCAGGAGTGCGGATGTTCGAGCCTAAATCGTTACAGAAGATGATGAACATGGCGAGGAAGGTCGAGGAGTGGGAGGAAGACAAAGAAGAGGAGTCGAAGTCAACCTCAGAGTCTGTGGGCCGTAACTCAAAGCCCAACAGCGGAAAGGAGTCTTCACCGGTGAGTCGACATGGGCTTAATGGGCTTAACTTCAGAAGAACAAGCCCAGTCACAATCAAAGCCCCACGTTACAGAAGGACAAAGGGATTGCTGGAAAGACTTCGACCCACCATAATCGTGTGAAACCACCTTTCCGCCGTCTCACGCCGGCTGAAATCGAGCAACGTCGGAGCGCCGGACTGTGTTATCGGTGCGATGAAAAGTATTTTCGGAACCACCGATGCCCAAAACCGGAGCTTACCGTTCTCATCATGCACGATAACGGAGAAGAAGAGGAGTTCAAGGAGGAGCCCCACGAGCTTCAGGAAGAAGAGGGTGAGATAGAAGCCGTGGTAGCGGAGGTGTCAATTAGCTCAGTCGTCGGACTATCCTCGTCCCGGACCATGAAGCTAATGGGACAGATCGGAGGAGAGGAGGTGATTGTGCTCATTGACAGTGGAGCCTCACACAACTTCCTCTCCGAAAAGACGGCGGCAAGATTGGGATTGATAGCTCGGGATACAACTCGATACGGAGTAATGGTGGCAGGAGGGGTGAAGGTTCGTGGGAAAGGAGTCATAGCTGATGTGGAGCTAAAAATGCAGGATTGCACCGTGACTACAAGCTTCCTTCCCTTGGAGCTTGGAATAGCGGACGTGATCTTAGGAGTGCAATGGCTAGACACCTTGGGGGAGATGAGAGTGAACTGGAAGCTACAGAGGATGAAGATTAAGGTGGATGGAGAGTGGGTGTTGTTACAGGGGGACCCCAGTCTCCACTCCGCTTCAGTCTCTCTGAAAACGATATGGAAGACGTTAGAAGAGGAGGGGGAAGGTGTGATAGTGGAGTATGGTGGTCTTCAGGCTTCGGAGGAGAAGGCAGAAGCGGTGGAGAATCACCAATGGCAGGAGATACTGGAGCAGTTTGCAATGGTGTTTGAGGAACCACAAGGGCTACCACCGTCACGGGGAAAGGAACACGCCATTAATTTAGAAGCAGGAGCTAGCCCCGTGAGTGTGAGACCTTTTAGGTATCCTCAGGCACAGAAGACCGAGATTGAAAGGCAGATTGGGCTGATGCTGGCTGCGGGAATCATAAGGGAGAGCAGCAGTCCGTTCTCCAGTCCAGTGTTGCTAGTAAAGAAGAAGGACGGAAGCTGGAGGTTCTGTGTTGATTACCGGGCTCTTAACCGTGTGACCGTGGTGGATAGTTACCCAATTCCGATGATCGATCAACTCCTAGACGAGCTCCATGGCGCAAGGGTGTTTTCCAAACTCGACCTTCGATCCGGTTACCATCAGATTCTGGTCAAGGCGGAAGACGTTCCAAAGACAGCGTTTAGGACGCACGATGGCCATTACGAATTTCTCGTGATGCCATTTGGACTGTCCAACGCACCGGCTACATTCCAGTCTTTGATGAATGACGTTTTCAGACCATACTTGAGGAAATTCGTGCTTGTCTTTTTTGACGACATACTCGTTTATAGTAAGACAGCAGAAGAGCATAAAGAGCACTTGGAGGTGGTATTGGGGTTGCTGGAAAGGAATCAGTTGTATGCCAATAGGAAGAAGTGTCAGTTTGGCTGTGAGAAGGTCGAGTATTTGGGGCACGTGATATCAGCACAAGGGGTAGCCGCTGATCCGGAGAAGATACGCACAATGGTGGATTGGCCGATACCTCGTTCCGTGAAGGAGCTGCGAGGATTCTTAGGGTTGACGGGATATTACCGCAAGTTTGTACGAGGATACGGTAGTATAGCAAGGCCGCTTACAGCTCTGCTGCAGAAGGACCTGTTCAAATGGACAGAGGAGTCCACCGGAGCTTTTGAAGGACTTAAAGGAGCCATGACTTCAGTGCCAGTACTGGCTATGCCAGATTTTGAAGCATTGTTTGTGGTGGAGTCAGACGCTTCAGGGGTGGGACTTGGAGCGGTGCTTATGCAGAATCAGAAGCCAATTGCATACTTCAGTCAGGCGCTAACGGCGAGGCAGAAGCTCAAGTCTGTGTATGAGAGAGAGCTGATGGCCATTGTGTTCGCGGTGCAAAAATGGAGACATTACCTGCTCGGAAGGAAGTTCTTGGTTAGAACAGACTAGAAGAGTCTCAAGTTCTTGCTTGAACAGAGGGAAATAAACTTGGAATACCAGCGGTGGTTGACAAAGCTCCTGGGGTTTGACTTCGATATTGTGTACAAGCCTGGACTTGAGAACAAGGCAGCGGATGCTCTTTCAAGGAAAGCTGAGATAGCAGAGTTGTATGCAGTGTCGGTTTCGACGGCCCTGCAACTGGAGGAGATATGAGGTGAGGTAGACAAGGATGATGAGTTACAGAAGGTCATAGCTGAGATGAAGGAAAACCCAAGTGCACATCCAGATTATGCGATGGTACAAGGGAGGCTGTTGAGGAGAGGGAAGTTAGTGATACCTAAGGAGTCGCCTCTGATAAAGGTGATACTTAAAGAGCATCACGACAGTAAGATGGCAGGGCATGGAGGCATGCTCAAAACTCGGAAAAGGATTGGTGAACTGTTTTACTGGAGAGGGATGATGACTGATATAAGGAGATACGTAGCGTCCTGTCAAACTTGCCAGCGACAGAAGTATTCTACCTTGGCGCCTGGAGGATTGTTGCAGCCTCTACCGGTTCCTGGACAAGTTTGAGAGGACATCTCCATGGACTTTGTGGAAGGCCTTCCAAAGTCGGATGGATACAGCACAGTGATGGTGGTGATAGACCGCTTCACCAAGTATGCCCACTTCATCAAAATCAAGCACCCTTACACCGCTCCAGACATTGCTCACGTGTTTGTGCATGAGATTATCAAGCTGCACGGTTTCCCCCGCACGATCGTCTCGGATAGAGACAAGGTGTTCACAAGCTTGTTCTGGAAAGAATTGTTCAGGGTATCAGGGTCGAAACTGTGTTTCAGCACCGCCTATCATCCCCATTCGGATGGGCAAACCGAAGTCACCAATAGGAGTTTGGAAACCTATTTGAGGTGCTATGCAGGTGACAAGCCGCGCACATGGTCTAAGTATCTGGATTGGGCTGAGCTAAGCTATAATACTTCATTCCACTCATCACTGCAAATGTCTCCATTCAAGGCCCTGTACGGTCGTGAACCTCCTACATTGTTGAGATATGAGGTTGGTTCAACTGCAAACGCTGAGCTAGAGGAGCAGTTGTTGACACGAGATAAGATGTTGGAAGTGATTAAAGAGCAGCTTCATCGGACACAACAGTTGATGAAACAGAGAGCTGATACTCACAGAAGAGAAGTGGAGTTTGAAGTTGGTGAAATGGTGCTGGTTAAGCTTCGTCCTTACCGTCAGCTGTCCCTAGCGAAGCGCATCAATGAGAAGCTCTCTGCTAGATTCTACGGGCCGTATGAGATCCTGGCTAAAGTAGGGCGAGTGGCGTATAAGCTGAAGCTACCTGATAACGTCAAGATACACCACACTTTTCACGTGTCTCAACTTAAAAAACTGGTGGGTGAGACCGTGGAAACAGTGGAAATACCACAACAGTTGACAGCGGAGGGAGTGTTGGAAACGGTACCGGAGGGCAGTGTTGCAGCAGAGGAAGAACGAGAAAACAGGGAGGGAAGAGGTTCTGATCAAATGGAAGGATTTACCATCCTTCGACTGCACTTGGGAGGAGGTTGTGTTCATGAAGGATCAGTTTCCATATTTTGACCTTGAGGACAAGGTCAATTTCGAAGGGTTGCGTATTGATACGTACGAAGCTACACGTCCTCCAATTCTCTACCAATACGCACGTAGGAAGAAAGGGTGTTGAGAGAAAAGGAGAAAGACAGATGGCAAGATAGTAGTGGAGTAAGTAGTAAGGAATAAGGGTCGTTGTCAAAAGAGATCTTCTGGCACATGGCCTGTCGAGAGTGTGTCGAGGCGTGACTCGCAAGGGGACTTGTGGGCATTCACGTGGTCTTAGGATTATAAAGAGTGTGAGAGGTGGTTGTTATGAGGTTATCATTTGTGTGTGATCAAAGTTGTAGTAGGAGAGAGAGTCCTTAAAACTTCTCTGTATNCTTGTGGGCATTCACGTGGTCTTAGGATTATAAAGAGTGTGAGAGGTGGTTGTTATGAGGTTATCATTTGTGTGTGATCAAAGTTGTAGTAGGAGAGAGAGTCCTTAAAACTTCTCTGTATTTCGTTCGTTATCAATAAGAACTTGTCTTATTCTCTTTTGTCTTGAGTTCATACAACAATAATAAGTAGATCTTATTAGTTCCTCAAACCACTCTTTTGGGAACATCGAGCTAAGTCAACCTGTTACAAGCATAAGTCTAAATCATTTCGGGCAATCTGTAAACTTGACTCTTTTCATGCAACAATGGGAATCAACGGTTAATATGACACTCAAGGCTGCCACAAAAGCTAATACTTCCTCGGTACATAAGTACTATAGTGCCGTACATGCCAAGTTCACAGAGTTTGCGGATGTTTACATGATGATGCAATGCACACCCGACATAACTTCCCAAGATTGCAAACAATGTTTAGGAGATAGTGTGAAATACTTTAGAGAACAGTTTCGTGGAAAAACAGGGGGCATGGCTAGTTTTCCTAGCTGTTTATTCAGATGGGATCTATATGCTTTCCAAGGTGCTTTTGTTAATATTACTAGAGTTTCTGCAATTCCTCCATCTCAGGCTCAGGAAAAGGGGAGCTCTATACCAGAAAAGAAAGGTTATAGCAATGCTAAAATTTTGTAAGTATGATAAATTGTTCTCAGACTAATTAACAAGGGTTTATAATTTTCAGGAATAAGCATGCATACGAGAACTATCACAATAATTGTGGTTTTTATTTTCATTAATCTTTTGGTATTTATTGGTATTTGCAAAGCCAAAGCTCGGAGGAGGAAATTAATAAACGGATTAAATGGTAAGTGCACCTTGTTCATGCTTCAGTCAACCTTATATATTGTAGAGGGTAGGACTTATTTTTTTCGGTTTTAGGTTGTAGTGTAGAATACTCAGGTTCGGATGGTCATTTTATGTTACGGTTTGATCTTAGTATGATCTTAACGGCAACCGCTGACTTTTCGCCTGAAAATAAGCTTGGACAAGGTGGATTTGGTACAGTTTATAAGGTAGTAATAACATTTTTTTCCTGCTAATAATATTGAGATCTTGGTCTTGGATGGGCAACAAATCTTGAAAAACGGTTTCAGGGGATATTACTAAACGGGAAAGAGATAGCTGTGAAGAGATTAACCAGAGGTTCAGAAGGAGGTATAGAATTTAGGAATGAGGTTTCACTCTTGACAAGACTCCAGCATAAGAATCTGGTTAAGCTTCTTGGTTTCTGTAATGAAGCAGATGAAGAGATTCTTGTCTATGAATATGTCCCTAACTCAAGTCTTGACCGCTTTATCTTCGGTAAGTTTTTGAAAGACAGCTGCATTCTTTACAGTTTTTAGAAAAAATTTCCAATGATACTTTTTTTTTCTAATCTGCAGATGAAGAGAAGCGACCGCTTCTTACATGGGAAGTGAGGTTTAAAATTATAGAAGGTATTGCTCGAGCTCTTGTTTACCTCCATGAAGATTCTCAGCTAAAGATTATTCACAGAGACGTAAAGGCAAGCAACATCCTTTTAGATGAAGAGATGAACCCTAAAGTTGCAGATTTTGGGACAGCAAGACTGTTTGACACTGATGAGACTCGAGCTGAAACAAAACGAATAGCTGGAACACGGTAAAATCATATCAATCNATTGCTCGAGCTCTTGTTTACCTCCATGAAGATTCTCAGCTAAAGATTATTCACAGAGACGTAAAGGCAAGCAACATCCTTTTAGATGAAGAGATGAACCCTAAAGTTGCAGATTTTGGGACAGCAAGACTGTTTGACACTGATGAGACTCGAGCTGAAACAAAACGAATAGCTGGAACACGGTAAAATCATATCAATCAATTTTCAAGACACATAAATATGCTCACCATCAGTTAACGTTATTAGTTGTATATTTACAGTGGATATATGGCTCCTGAATATCTCAATCATGGGCAAATATCAGCTAAATCTGATGTATATAGCTTTGGTGTGGTGCTTCTAGAGATGATAAGTGGTCGAAGAAATAATAGCTTCGTGGGAGAAGGAATTGCAGCTTTTGTAAGTTTCTTTCATATTAGTCTTCTTTGTACTTCTTCTAGTATCCTAGAGTTAAAATATATATATATATATATATATATATATATATCCTTTTCATTCAGGCATGGAAAAGATGGGTTGAAGGAAGGCCTGAGATCATAATTGATCATTTATTGGTAGGGAAGCCGAGTAACGAGATCATTAAGTTGATCCAGACTGGTCTGTTGTGTGCTCAACAAAATCCAACAAAGAGACCAACCATGAGCACTGTAATAGTTTGGCTTGGCAGTGAGGCCATCACTATTCCTTTACCCAAGGCTCCTGGTTTCACAGTGAGTTATACCCAATCTGAAGATGGTACAACGTCAATGAGCAATGTCTACACGGAGTTGAGTTGTCGCTGAGTTACAATTGTTAATCTATATGTTTCTTTTAAGGTAGTACCAAATGTTCTAATTGTATTGAATGGAGAAATATATGTTGGAACGAAAACTTTAGTAAAGATGAAGAAAGTGTTTGAAGAGAAAATGTTTTGTGTGAATAAGAAAGATTTAGTTTAGTTAAGAGGAATTTTTATTATTTTGATGATTTTAAAAAACTTGGATAATACAAAATGAATAAGGAAGGGAAGTTTTTTTTTTAATATTAAAAGGCTATTCTATTACTCAAACTTAAGGTGGTCTGGGAATCCAGATCGGAATAAAACAAGCAACAAAATATAACTTACGATAGAAATTACGAGCAGTCCTAGCTAAGCCATCTGCTGACCGGTTTTGCGATCTTGGTATGTAGGAGATCTTGAATTCTGAAAATCTGGTACTCAATGACGCAAACTCTCCTAAATATGTAGAGAAGCTCGGCCAATCATTAGGATTCTGGATCATTTCGATAACATTCATATAGTCCGTCTCAAAATACTGACATTCTGTGTTTTGAATCATTCTCTCCATTGCCCAGATCAAAACCTCCAATTCTGCGTGCAAAGAAGACATACGGCTTTCTTCGTTTTTTTAGTCCTAAAAGTTGAAACCCAACTATATCCACTTCGGTGTGCTCCAGATGTACATGATCTATCCACTACACAGATGATCTGCAAGCTTAGGACTTGCATGTTTGTGTGTACTACTTGATCTATCTTTATGGCTTTTGTGTTTGCTTCAACCCAGGTGTTGCATTCACTTTCTGCATGTGTAACCAATTCCAGCGGATCTCTTTAGATACCTCTGAAGAGTTTTTCATTTTGCGCTTTCCATAAGTACCAAATAATCCATGGATAAGGATCCTTATCTTGGCTAGGGTCTTCAATCTCATTCTTCCTCCAAAATAGGTAGTTCAAGCTTGTGAATATGCTCGTTGTTGGAAAAATTCCCAGACCTGATGGTGTCGAGGCTAGGGTCCAAGTTTGCAAAGCCGGTGGGGATTCAAAAACAACATGGTTAACTGATTCATCAGGCTCTCCACATCTAAGACAATAGTTATCACAACATATATGGCGTCGTGTTAAGTTTCATGCGACTGCTACATATCCAGATAGAAGCTGCCATATAAGGTGGAGGATTTTCTGTGGGGCATGAATTCTCCATGCAAAGGCCTTTAGACTCTTCGTGCCTGAGTATATTCCTTGCAACCCAATACCCAGACTTCACAGTATACATCCCATTCTGAGTATAGCTCCATCTGTAATTTTCTTCTCGATGAGATTGGCTTATGGCCAAATTCCTTATGAGTGGTATGTCCTCCAGAACAATAAGGCTCTCAAGCACCTCCACATTCCACTCTTTTGGAGATCCATGAATCAGATCACTCACTATCATTCTTGGATTTACCATCAGATGGATTGCTTGCTCCGATCTAGCTGGAATTAAGGAAATCCACATGTCTTCCCAAACTCGTATTTGATACCCTGAATGAACTTTCTGATTGATTCCCAACATCAATAGAGGTCTAGCTGCCATTAAACCTTCCATCCATCGCTCGTAGTAGCGAACTTTGGCGAGAATATATATTTTCCTCGCAATACTCTCGCAAGAAGAGAATCTGGGAATTGAATCAATCTCCACAATTTTTTTGCCAGTAAAGCCAAGTTATATTCATATATTAGCCTCAATCAGACTTCCCCTTTCTCCTTTGGAATACAAATTTTATCCCATGTTGCCAGTGCATGCCTCTCTTTGGTGGGTTCGAGCTCCACAAAAATTTAGCAATTACACTTGCTAATTTATCACATATCTCCAGAGGTAGTAGACAAATTGAAATCACATATGATGGTAGTGCCAATGCATTGGCCTTTATCAGAACTTCCTACCTCCACGTTATAGCCAACGAGCTGCCACCCATTTATCTTATGATCAATCCTAACCTTTAGGAAAGCAAAGAGCTTACATTTTGACCCACTTACGTCCTTTGGGCTTCCCAGATAAGTGCCCATACCCCTCCCCCTCATTATCAATTTATAAATTTTTCTTAATATCTTGTTTAATGTTTAGAGAGACCCTTTTCTTGAAAGAAGCAAAGACTTCTCGAAATTAATGCATTGACCCGACGCCTTTCCATTGACCTTTAACACTTTCATAACCTCATCATATTCACTGCTCCACCTTACAGAAGAACATGCTATCATCAGCAAATAACAGGTGGGATACCGATGGGCTAGCGCGTGAAACACACATTCTCATTATCTTTCCATGTGTTTCTGCATGATTTAGAAGATGAAAGGAAACAAAGGATCACCTTGATGCAGGCCCCTCTCGGGGACACTATTCCCTCTAGGCTGACCATTCATAAGGACTTGGTACCTTACCGAAGATACACATCACATAATCCAGTTTATCCAGATGCTAGAGAAACCCATTTTCTCTAAAACCTTTTCAATAACTATCCACTCCATTCGGTCATATGCTTTGATCATATCTGTTTTAATCGCCATTCGATTTTTTCTGTCCTCCAGGTTGTGTTCTCAGCGCATGGAACATCTCTTGGACGATCATTATATTATCTGTAATCTGTCTGCCCGCAACAAAGGTTGATTGTGTTTCAGAAATACGGTCTGGTAGTATCTTCTTCAGTCTCTGCATAAGACATTGGAAACTATCTTGTAGCTCACATTGAACAAGCTTATGGGTCGGAATTGAGCCATTGCAGTCGGTTTATCTTTCTTCAGGAGAAAGGAGGTATTTATAGCCTCCAAAATACAAAATATCTTACATATTTTAATCCTAAATCTAGTTTGTTCTTACATAATATCTAGATTTTTTATCATAATTATCTAAATTTTTCTATAACAATATCTAGATTTTTATCTTAAGGATGTGGAGATTATACTAGAATTTGGTCTAAGTTTGGGATAAACATAATTAGTGAATTATTTGTCCAGTAATACTTGATCCAAATCAAGTTTACTGCTCAACACCCCCTTTTAAAATTGATTTGGTTACTCCGAGTAAGCTCCTCATCTTGATGAGGTCTTCTCGCTTGAGTGGCTTGGTGAAGATATCAGCTACTTGATCATTTGTCTTCACATACTCCAATTGCACATCCATCTTGGTAACATATTCTCTAATGTAGTGATAACGAGTATCAATGTGCTTACTCCGATCATGGAAGACTGGATTCTTTTCCAGTGCTATTTCCGACTTGTTATCCACAAAGATCTTCGTTGGCTCCTCTTGTGGTAGGTTCAACTCATTTAGCAAGTTTCGTAAACAAATATCATGTCAAACACATGAAGTTGCTGCCACATACTCTGTTTCACAAGTAGAAAGCATGATAATTGGTTGCTTCTTTGACATCCATGTGAAAGCGGTCTCTCCAATGAAAAACACAAAGCCACTTGTGATTTTCCGATCATCTACGTCTCCTCCCCAATCGCTATCGCTATATCCAATAAGCTTGTAATCGTCAGAAATGGAGTAATACAAGCCAAAGTTGATTGTACCTTTGATATAGCGTAAGATCCTCTTAGCTGTCTTAAAGTGAGCAGTTGTTGGATGCTCCATATATCGACTCACAACTCCAACTGCGTGTAGGATGTCGGACCTTGTGCACGTTAGATAACGTAGAATTCCAACTAGGCTCTTAAAGAGTGTTGGATCCACACTCTCTCCTTCTTCTTCCTTTGACAACTTGACTCCACATTCCACTGGCTTGCAAACTGAATTTGAGTCACCCATCTTGATCTTCTTAAGCACCTCTTTAGCATAACCTTCTTGAGTAATGAAGATTCCATTTTCTTCTTGATTCACTTCAATGCCAAGGTAGTATGACATCAATCCAATATCAGTCATCTCAAACTCCTTTCTCATCTCCATCTTGAAATCGTCAAACATAATTGGATTGTACCGGTGAATATCAAGTTGATATCACTCAAATGTTTAATCCTAAGGAGTGATTTACTCTCTCAAATAAGAGGTTCAAACGTAGTACTTAGGGATCGAATCCAAAAGGAACTAGAGTCACAAAAGATATAATCCTAAGTGATTAATCTAGGTTGAAAAGGTTTAAAACAATAAATAAAAGTTGGTAGCAATGGTAAGTTGCTAAGGAAAATAGGTTTTGGGTTTAAAAAACAGTGAAAGTAAGTAGTTAGATTCAAGGTTACTATTCAGAAAATCAGGATTATAAATCTATGGATGTCTTAACGAATTGCTTGCAAATATATGAGAACTTCAATCCTTAGATAAATCTATAGCTGTCGCTATTAGACTGATCCATTGATCTGATTGCCGACAGTATCGATCGATGTTGCTATCGCAGTATCGATCGATATATGTTGTCGTCGATTGATGACTCTATAGGAGTATCGATCAATATAGCATCAGCTCGAATTGAAACTGTGTTCACCCGAGAATTTCTATCAGACCGGCTGTCGCTCCTGCCTAATAGAGTCTGGGCTTAGCCAAATTATTTCAGGAAAATGACTATTAGATTAGTCACTCCATAATCATAACTCTAGGTAGCAAATCTAGAGTAAGCATTAGGGTTCATTTGGATAATGAGTATACCAACTCAACAATCCATAGTTGGGGCTAATCCCTCATAACTATTTGAACCCCAATTCTAACAAATGAATCTACTCAGACATAGCCAAGAGATACATAGCAAAAGAATAAGATGAAAAGAAAATACTTTATTGCTATAAAATAGAATACAAGAACTTAGATAAAAACTTTCTGAAAATATCTTGATGTCTTTCTAGGGCTCATAGGCATAGCTATAAATATGTAGTAAAATTAGGTTAAAAACTCGTCAGGGGAAATCTTGTAATTTGGTGAGAACTTGGGCTTCAAGTGGGCCAAGTAAATCTTGCTCATCACGCTCTGTATCGATCGATGGTACATGGTGTACATCGAATGATGGAGTATCTCGACTTCAACTTCTACGGAATCGTCATTGATCGATTACACAAGGTGTGTATCGATCGATATGTGTCTCTCAATGTCGGATCTTCATAGTCATCTTGTAAAACTCTCCTTTAAGCTCCATAAGGCACCTAAATCATCACTTTACTACAAAATGCTCCTGAACCTGA